CGCAGTCGGTTGGCTGCTTCCTGCTGCTCAGACCATTGTTGTTTTGGTGAGTAAACTATGCATTAATTAAGGAGTAGGGATCTCCCAAAAATACGCGTAGTAGGGATCTCACAAAATACAATGCCAACGTTGTGAATGCGCAATGACATAAAGATAAGTGGTCATTATGGACAACTATTGCTAGTAAAAATATTCAAAAAGACAGCCACTAACCTTTAAAACTCACTTTTCTAATCATTTAATCAAATATTGCGATCACAGGCCAAGAAGCTTGATAGGGGGGCCCACAATGAGTGAGCGATTGACGTTAGAAGACTTAGAATTTCTAAAATGTATGTATTGCAGGTGTTCAACGCTATTGATGGAGATCCAGTTACCGGAATGTGCTACGTCGGAAATACAGATGTAAATCACTTAAGGATGTTTGTATTGGGTAAGAATTGCTAAATTCTCATTTTGAAAAATGCTGAAGAAGCGTAGAGACAAAATCGTAAGTCGCAAGGATGGCGTAAACTGCATTAACGATCAACTAACCATCAATGTACCAGTAACTCCTGCATTTTACTCAAAGGCCTTCTTTTTTCGGCTCTAAATACTAAATCTAGAAAAATCTAAGCTTAGGGAATTTTTGCAAATTTTTTATCAGGGAGAAATATTTTTTTGCTCTCAAGATAGTGTAAATTTTGCAACACTTCGGTTACCACACAGCTGAAATGATATGATCTTAATTAACAAATAGTAATCTATCAGACTTTTCAAATCACTTGGATTTTAAGCTTGTAAAAAAGTTATTTAAAATGAGGAAGGCGATTAACAACTAAGCATACTTACCATAAAGTAATTTACGCTAACATGTATCATGCGCGCTTTACCTGAACTCAGCGCGACGGTTGCCATAAATCTATTTGAGCCATTTCTCTAGCAGTTCATCTTAAAATATAGAAATTGAGAAATCATTATTTATAATCACAATTTTAAGAGACTTGGTACAAACATTTTTTCCTTCAGGTCCGATGATTATCTACTTCTCACTTGGGGTGCTCTTCTTGTTCGTTGGCTTTTTCAATCTATGGAGAATCAGAAATGAGGTAAGGTTTTTTTACATCTGGTGGAGTGCGCAATTATTAATTAGTGTTTAATGTATAGCTTTCAAAAAAGCAGAGTTATTTGAGCAAATGTTAATATAACAAAAGGTAGACATTCACAAAAAATCATGAATTAAATTGATGTATAAGTGCAAATGA